GTCGCATCCTTAAAGTTGTGCAGGTTGAAATCATGTGGGAAAATTCAGGCTTTCTTCAAGTAATAACTGAAGAAACCAGCCTATGTTAGAAGTTTGAGATAGGAGATGGCAGTTCCTTATCTCGTTGAGCAGGAAGAACTCCTCTCATATAGCCTATGTAAGCTGCACAAGAAACCTCTTTCTAACACAGAGTGAGACATAATACTGCTGTTTCCTTACCTGAGGAAAACCCTATGGTAGAAAGGATTGGGGAAAAGAGGATTTCCTCAAGCTCCAGTCACTGCAACATCAAATTCTATCCCCAACCACTCACAAGGCAACAATTACAATGTACCCTGTTAAAGGAACAGCCAGCAAAACTAGTTAAAACAGGCCTTAGTTTAATATTTTTCTTCTGCTGAAAGTGTCTGGGCACCATTCCACACTTCCTCAGCAAGGAATAACCAGAAGGCAACACAAAAGCAACTGGAGCAACATGGGCTTTAGATGTCCTGTCACAGGGCAGTAGTACTGGCCAAACTGGTCACACAGACTCACTGGGTGTAGTCTCAGTCCAAGAAAGCTATATATAATATACAAATATAGTACCTGTGCTGCTTTAATTACAAGCGAAACAAAAAAGCAGCAACAATAACAACAACCTAAAGCTCTTGCATAAGCATCCAGCAGTAATTTGGGGTGCAGTCATTATCAGACTAGAAAATTTACATGTAAGGCCATTTGGCTGTTCCACGTTGAATAGTAATTTTCAGCTTTATTAGTGAATGAAAATATAAATAGCATGGGTACTTTTAAAATTATCCTAACACCATAGTAAAGCCATAGCATTTTGGACTCCTTGTGCGTTTCTAAAGATATATATTCAACAGGATGATGTTGCTTGCTTTCTATAAAAATAAACTAGTATCCAATAATTGTCCTGAAAATAATACTGAAAAAAAAATGCAGTGGCTATCTACTCTCTATGCAGACTTGACAGGAGTTTTGTAATGGGCAAAACAATAATGTCTTGAATGTTAAAATATGAAGGAAAAACAATCTCCCTCTATTGTTATCTTGGAACAGGTTATCACCATACTTAAGTCCAGCTACTTATCTCACAATCCTTGTTTTTCCTGTATTACCCTCCCCAGTATATTTATTTTTTCACCCTCTGAATGCCTGCCATATGCTTTATCCATTAATTGCAGGAGGAGAGAAGGAAAGCTACCTATTGTAGCCAAGAAGAGTGCATGGGGGGGTTTAATCATATCCACTTTTCTTTAAATTTCCATTTAGGATCAACAATGCTTTTGTTGTTTTTGTTGTTGTTTTAATGATACCTCCCCCATCCTTTTGGACTCAAATCATTCTTTATGACAGCTTCCATTCACCCAAGCTCCTTCACCCAGGTTTGGCCATGATCTTTACTCCTAAGCCCAGAAGACTGTGCCTTACAAATGGCCTTAATAATGATGGAGAAAATACAAACACCCATCTGCAACCACAGAGCTGCCTGTTGCCCTCCACCCTGTCCCAGGAAAAGGATGATAAAGCTTATTTTGAAACATAGGTGCTACTGAGCCCATAGCCCAAGTTTCTCTCTCTTTCTGGGGGATGAATGGTGCTTCACACCCTTCTCTCCCACACACCACCTCTGCTCTTTCTGCTCCGTATCATTGCGACAATGTACACGGCCTTTCTAAGCGGTGGGGTCCAGGGCTTTATAACCTCTCTCTGCTGCTACGCAGAAGGCGCTAGAAGGAAAGAGGGGAGCTCACGCTGGGCGCTCACAAAGCGCAGCACAACTCCTGCTTTGCCCCCAGCCCAGTGGCTGCTTCTACCCCTGCTCCGCAGACCTCCTGCCTCCTCTGGGGAGCCCTGGCCCCTCGCAACACCAAAGTCCTTCCCTTTGCTCTCAACCTCACCATGATGTGAAATATTCCCGATGGGATTTTACTTGCTCCAAGGTAAATCTTCGGAGCTGGCGGTCGCACAAGGAGCAGTGCAACCTGCCAGGCCCCCACGCGCTGCCCCAGCCTGGACACTCCCCGCCGCGGGGCACTGCCCCACGGCAGCCCGGGG